TAATATTAATAATAATATTATTATTAGGCATAATTGCAAAAAACTCCCCGAACTATTGTTTAGTTGCAAGATGGCCCTTGAAGGATATTATGAGTATTGTACATTTATGTTATTTTACAATTTTTATATAGATTAATAAGTGGGGGTATTTTAGTAATTTTGACCATCTGGACGCCGAAAAATGTGGTCCGGTTATCGGGAGAATCCATTTTGCAATGTTGGTATAGATGATGGTTCAATTTGTAACCCCATATAATTCAAGGGGTATTTTTCACTTTTGGTGATAGTTCAGGTTTTTTTGCGCTTTTGCCTAATTAAAATTAAAGAAAAATTAATTTAAAGTTTGAAGTTTGAACTATTTTTACTAGACAATTGGTGAATATTATTATAAAAAGCTTATTAATGGGTACACGTACATCAAAAGAAATATGAGTAGCACAACACTAGATGGGGATGGTTGTGCATGTCTCAGTCACCACCACACCCTTCCAAGCAAGAATCATCACAGCCAAAACAATGTATGGTGACTTCATTATGTTTCTGCTTTGCACATGAAAATATTATGAAGGCTATGATGAAAATTGCATCGCATACTTGACAAAGTAACACAATGCCTCCAATATGATCTATGCCATCTATACTGTGTGTTTTTTTTGCTTTGATACTTGATCTCCTAATCCACTCGATCTCCTAATCCAATGGTGAACACTGCCATCCAATATGATCTTTGCCATTGATCTAATATGGCCACGTTTAAAATTAATGGTAAGACAATATGTAGGTATGATTCTATTAAAACAATTACACACATTCATGCCTTCATTGAGAATTGAATTACCTTCGTTTAAAAAGTTAGGGCTTGATACCGCTGGGCTAGTTGACCATTTGGTCTGAAATTTATTTTTCTTAAGGGTGATTTTGTCATGTTAAATTAGAGTTACCTTTAATCCCCATGGCTTGGCTCAAGTGATAAGATCACTTAACCCCGCCTCCTTAGGGATCAGGTTTGAGTTTTAACTACTATTGATTTGAGTGTAACCAATTTTCTTAGGGTTAGACACGACCTACATATAAATTGCCCCTCTAATATATATATTAGTAATATACCCTTGTTAATTTGGTTTTTCCAACTATATACTCATAAAATATAACTAACCCACCCCTAATTTTCTGGGTCCATCCCTGCTTGGGGTCATGCATCCGCAGTCTTTACTCCGCAATTTACCTTACAGGGCCGGCATGTGGTGGGGAGACGCCCTTTATGGATCCTTAGGAATTAGTTGGGGCGCGTGAAGCCCCGAATATCTCAAGTTAATCTAAAAAAATAAATTAGAGCTACCAACACTCCAAGAGAACATATCTTGTAGATTAATTAATAATTATCATCCACATAATACCATGATTAAGAGGATGATTGTGATGGGAAATGAAGATTTTAGAAAAGGTAAGTTCACCCTTATGAAGATCCCTTTAGCCTTATTCTTCTTCTTTAGAGTACCAGCTTCACTTTGGTACTTTTACCTTTAGGGTGCGTTTGGTTAGATAGAAATAGCATGAAAGGAAAAGGAAAAGAAAAAGAAAATTTTACAATTTTTTATGGGTTTGGTTAGAAGGAATGTGAAAGTTTCCCGCAAGGTGTTAATTTTCCCCAAAATGTTTCTTATATAAAACATAATAAATTTTCAATTTCTCGTGAAAGTTGTGACTCTATAACCTTATTCACAAATAATGAAAAATGATTTCTCACTATGACATGGTAACAAGTCAAACAAATATTTAAAATCCTATTGGTTCCGATATTTCAAAACGCCATTTGATTATTTGGTTTGGATGGCTAAAATGTCCACCATATTAGGATACATCAAAGGATTTATTATTGAAACAAATGAACAAATTCTACAGAGATGCACAAAGAGATGATATATACATATACGACCGGTATATATAATTTCCAACCAGTTTAACAGTGTATTTATTTAAATCCCATTTATAAAGTTATCATAGAAGGTAACAGACTGAGAGGGCGACAAAAAAATAACATGAATGTGACTTTAATTAAAAACTTAAATACATTAAGTGGAATGACATGTAATAACAAAGATTGGGGACAAAGAATTCATGTGGAGACCCATTCACATAGGATTAAGGCGAGAATAGTTATGATGATAGACGAAGAACCACTATCATGCACCAATTTACTTAACAACCTCTACTCCCGCCACCGCCACGGCCGCCACCGCCGCAAGCAGAACCTCCACCTCCACCACAAGAAGAAACTCCACTTCCACCTTCACCTCCGTCATTCCAACGTGATTTTCCAGAAGACTGACCGCAAGCGAAGAATATTATGGACAGAATTGAGAAAGACATAACAATCATGCACAACAAAAATATGACCCTAGAACCATGAAGCAAGAGGCTTGCTTCGTCCAATGCACTAGCACCACCAAAAGTAATGAAATTTCTCGCCATCTTTCAATCCCTATGGGCTAGCTTGAGTCGAAGAAATTGCATGCATAGGCCATACCAATGCTTGTCATTTTATAGGGGCTGAATTTGGTTTTCATCATCACCCTGATTGGTTACTTGTATTAACCGTTAACTGATACTTTTATTTTGTTTTGATTTTGTCAACTTGAAAATTCTTTATAAATCGGTTGCAGCTTGCCAAGAAGGTCCTTTAGACAATTATGAGATGCTTAAACTTTTCACTTATCTATATCAGTCCCGTATAGAAGCAAAAATTAGTAAAATGGTTTAGGCGTTGGTTATGTAACGACCCACTCCACCACATGGTATAATATTGTCCACTTTGGGCCTGAGCGTGCACGGTTTTGCTCTTGAACTTTACCCCAAAAGGCTTTATACTAATTGGAGTGACACACTTATATATAAGTACTTCATTTTTCCTTTTCCAAGGCGACGTGAGATTGTGCACCTGCAGCTCGCCAGTATGGTAGTATGTCAGTGTCTCGCACCAGCCCATGGCACACACGCCCACAGGGTCATCGCAATCCACCCCCCTTGGAGGCCCGTCGACACACTTTCGGCTAGGTAATACTCTGATACCATTTGTAATGACTCACTTCACCACATGGTATAATATTATTCGCTTTGGGCCTAATACCCTGTCATACCATATGGTGGAGTGGGTCGTTATAAATGGTATCAGAGCTTGACCCAGCCGGAAGTATGTCAACTAGGACGTCAGGCCTCCAAAGGGAGGGGGGGTGGATTGTGATGACCCTGTGGGTGGGTGTGCCGTAGGTGGGTGCAAGACACTGACAGGCTATCACACTGGCGAGTTACGGGTGCACAATCCTATATCGCTTGGGAAAGGGAAATGTGAAATGCTTATATGTAGGTGTGTTACTCCAATTAGTATGAGGCCTTTTAGGGTAAAACCCAAGAGTAAAACCGTGTGGGTTCAGGCCCAAAGCGGACAATATCATATTATGTGGTGGAGTGGGTCGTTACAGGTTAATTTCATAGATAAAATATAATTGACCTACATGTGATGGTGTGTTTCCACATATCTCTCTCTCTCTCTCTCTCTCTCTATATATATATATATATATATATATATATAACTATAAAGTAAAATAATAATAATAATAATTATATATATAAAAGAAAAATTTTGCATTATTATTTATTATATAAAAATAATATTAATAAAAAAATAAAAAAAACTCATAATAATTAAGGAATTTGTGTTAGAGTTTTACAGATTCACTCTTAAAAACTCTTTTTATATTAATAGGTAATTTGTGTTAGAATTCTATAAAAATTCTTTTAAAAATTCTTTTTATATCAGTAATTAATAAATAAATAAAAATTGGAGTTTGCTAATTGGTATTCTTATTTAATTTTAGTTGGATTTTAATTATTGGTATTTTTTTTTAGTTGGACTTTGTTTATTAGTATTTTAGTATTTTATTTTAGTTAGACTTTGGTTATTGATATTTTATTTAAATTATTTTATTAAATTAATTATAAACCAATAATTTGAAATTCTCTAACCTCAATTGGAACCCAACCAGCAGTTGTCCGGAAACGTGGACCGGTTGATAAAAGACTAGTCAATTGTTTTTTTAAAACCACCAGCGCTGGACGTTGAATAATACAGAGTACATTGAATGAAATATGGGCAGGATTGAAAATGGTTGTCTCAGCCACCACCACCGCAAGCCACTACCCCCTCCATGTAGCGATGAATTGGAAATGTGCGACTTAACCTAAGTGACTTGGTCACATTTCATACTATCAAGCTTAAATTAGCAAGTAATGCTATATATTAGTCCTTATAAATTCAAGATCTAAGACAAGAATTCATAACACACCTTTTTATTTTCTTGACATTTGTGCTCTCAGTGTTGTCCCCTTCCTCAGCCGTTTTCCTTGTAAGCTGGTTGTCTCAGCCCCCATTATACTTGTATACCTCTAATTCAGTGTCCCTCTTGCACGTATACACGAAAATATAATGTACATTTGGGAGTACCGAATTACATTCTTTTTCCCATTCAACTATGACTGATTTTAGAAAGTCTTGCACACGGGTGCCCAATGCAAACTGTGCTCCCCTCTAGCTTTTTATAAGTTACCAGAGCTTCATGGTGTTACCAACACCTTTGGCTTCCTCACACCAAGTATAGTAGGCATCCTTATTTTCACAGTCTGGTTTGTGATTCAGAAAATATTTTCAATAATTCATAAAATTAAAAATTATTTTCACATGACTGGCTTTCAATTCTCAGGAAATACCATTAAATCTTAAGAGCAAGTGTAATTTTTTCTTTTTTTTGTAAAATAGAATTTTTTTTTTTTCTTTTATTGACAAATTAAGGACATGAAACTCGAACACAGAAACACACTGTATGCTCTACCAATGTCACTGAAAAATGCCCTAAAATAACATATTTTTCAGTACCTTTGTTTTCACCGGGTAATCACTTTATTATAATTTAATTACCCAAAACTAAAAAATCATTTTATTATAATATTTTTTTTACCGACTATTATATATTTTCATATAGATATCGAATGGGTATAATCATTTTATTATAATCTGTTTTTTTGCCGACCATTATATATATTCATATATATCGAATCGGCGATCTAGGAAATCTTCGATTCTTAGCCGCCGTTACCTCCAGAAAGCTGACCCCACAAACCCCAGTACACTGATTTTCTATAACAAGCCAATCTTACCATTTTCAGTCTCTGTTCTCTGTACAACTAGTTTAGTTTTGTATGTGTAGTAGTAGTTTCACTCTACAGATGCACCAAATTGGTTTGTTGATTTGCTAAAGATCTGAAGCAAATTTGAAGATTTACGAAGGCTTTTGGTGATCTGGGTTTTCTTCATTTCTCTGTATGATTATCAATCTCGGTAAGTTCAGTTCAATTTGTGTTTTATAATGCTAGTTTACATAGAAATTTAATGGAATGATAGACATTTTAGGGTTTGGACAACCAAATTATGAGTTCTGTGGATTTTGATTAATTAGGATTTTAGTGAAAATCTGGAAAATGGAGGAGATGGGTATTCACTTAAACTGGTTTTTTAGTTTAGCTCTAAATTTAAAGTTAAATTGGATATCTTTTTTTGATCTGGATTGAAATATCTTGAGATTGTGCTTGTTGTTGATCTGAGAAGCTTTAGTGAGTTATTGTGGTATTGCTCAGTTCTAATCTCGGTTCAATATTTGGCTTTGATTCAAAGTTGAGATCAAATAAAAGTTGAGATTGAATTAGTTTGGCTTAAATTCGAAATTATTGTAATTGTTTCATTTCCCATCAGAAAATTAGTTGCTTTTTCATAGTCTGGTATTCTCATGAACTGGTTATTGATGAAGTTGTGATTGAAATTGTGTTATTCGATTTAAATTCCTTAAAGATGGTTTATGCATTTATTGTAGGTAATGAGATGTCACTGACAAACACTTGGTTTTGTCCATTGAAGCTTAACTTAGTTTGGATATAAATTCTTTTAATGTTGATATTGATTAATAATCATTTGAAGCTTATAACTGAAACAAACTTAGATACTTTCAACAAACATTTGCAGATATGTGGCTTGGTGATATTACAGTTTGACTTCAGTGATTAAGAATTTTGGGCTTGTCATGGATTTTATTTGAAGAATCTGGCTTTGAACTTTTGAATTTCTTCATGGAACCAAACAAAGAGGAGGCTCTCCAAGCTAAAGAGAATGCTGAGAAGTTATTTGCTAAGAGAGACTTTGTTGGCGCAAAGAATTTTGCTTTAAAGGCTCGAATGCTGTACCCAGAACTGGAGGGTATATCCTGCATGTTGGCTACATTTGAAGTGTATATTGCTTCTTTGGTTAAAATTAATGGCAAAATTGATTTATACTCGATTCTTGGACTGGAGCCAGCTGCAAACAAGGCTACACTAAAGAAACAGTATAAGAAGATGGCTGTGTTGCTCAACCCTGATAAGAACAAAACTGTGGGAGCTGATGGGGCATTCAAGCTTGTCTCTGAGGCATGGACACTGTTGTGTGATGGTAACAAAGAACTCAAGAGAAACAAGAAATTGTCATCTGGGGCTGTCCATAAAAACTTGTCTTCTGTTCATACTGGTGGTGTAACAGGTTTTAACAACTGTGCCAATTCTTCAGTCTCTCATGCTAGACTTGATACTTTCTGGACTGTGTGCACCTCTTGTCAAGTTCAGTATGAGTACCTGCGGAAATACCAGAACAAGAGACTTTCCTGTAAGAACTGCAGGGGTATATTCATTGCTGTGGAAACAGGACCAGCCCCTGTGAGTGCTTCTTACCCTTATGGTCCTTGTTCACATGTACCAGATAATGGGCATGGAAGTCATGGATCTAATGGGGTTACATTTGCCCCAACCACTGGAATATATTTTACAGGAAATGGTGTCGGGCATGGAAGTCATGGATCTAATGGTGTTACATATGCCCCAACCACTGGTATATATTTTACAGGAAATGGCGTCTCAGGGTCGCATTCTGGTCATGGGTCTGAGTATGTTTCTAATGTGTCGTTGCAGTGGAGCTCGTTCCATGGAGCTTCTGCTGAAGTTGTGGATCCTAATAGATTAGCCACCAAATCTGCCCATGAAACCCATCAGCTTAATGGGAACATCAACAAAACAAGAGCCACCAGAAAAAATCAAATAAAAAGAGCTGTGGCTGATATGAGTTCGAATGTGTTTGCTGGACAACCCTCAGCCTCTAAGGCAGGTAGACCTGCCAAGAGAAGGAAGGTTGATGTGGGAAGCACTTCTCAAAATCGTAGTGAAGCAATGGCTTCAAAAACTGCTTCAGAAGTGATAATGGTTAATGAAAATGGAAATCTTAAATGTAATCCTAAGCTTTCCACTTCAAGTGAGACTCCAATTAGACGTTGCTCAGCTGCCCCTGCATTTGATGCTAGAAAATTGTTGATTGACAAAGCAAGAACAGAAATCCGTAAGAAACTCGAAGAAATTAGGTTGGCTTCAACTGCAGCAACAGCGGTGGCAGTGGCTGAGAAGAACGAAAAAGTTCATACTGAAGTTGGTAAATCCTGCGAGGCACTTACAACTGCAGGTTTGATTGGTTCGAGTCATCGATTAGAGCTGAAGAAAGCCGAGCCAATGTCAATAACAGTCCCTGACTCCGACTTCCATGATTTTGACATGGATAGAACAGAGGAGTACTTCAAGCCTAAGCAAATATGGGCTCTATATGATGAAGAAGATGGTATGCCTCGCCTCTACTGTTTGATCCGCGAGGTCATCTCAGTTAAACCATTTAAGGTTCATATCAGTTATTTGAACTCCAAAACAGATAGCGAATTTGGATCCGTGAATTGGGTGGATTCTGGATTTACCAAGTCTTGTGGAAATTTCAGAGCATTTAACTCTGAAATTATTGACCAAGTCAACATCTTCTCTCATCTTCTGAGTAGAGAGAAGGCTGGCAGGGGAGGTCGTGTGAGTATCTATCCCAAAAGTGGAGACATTTGGGCAGTTTATCGGAATTGGTCACCAGATTGGAACAGAACAACTCCAGACAAACTGAGGCACCAGTATGAAATGGTGGAAGTTCTGGATGATTACTCCGAAAAGCTTGGAGTCTGTGTCACTCCCTTGGTTAAATTAGACAGATTCAAGACAGTATACCAGCAGAACACAAATAAAGGCGCCATTCGATGGATCCCTAGGAGAGAGATGTTACGGTTTTCACACCAGGTGCCATCATGGTTACTTAGAGGAGAATCACTTAACTTGCCAGATGAATGCTGGGATCTCGACCCTGCTGCAACTCCAGACGAGCTTCTTCATGTCGTAACTGAAATGAAGGTGGAAGAAAAGCCTAGTTGAGCAGAAGTATAAGCTTGGAAGGCCCTTATCGCCGCAGCCCTGACTGTATTGATATTCCAAGTTGTACAGATTTGAATACGTAGTGCTCTATCTCAGAAAATCAGATAGCTGGAGGGTCACAAGCTGATCCATGGCACTGAATCCAGATTGTTTTTGATTGTTCAACATTTAAACTTCGACATACCTCCTGTATCCATGCAACAACTTACTCAAGACACTTTTCTAGGCTGCTGGGAAAACTAAGAGACTGCATGGTTGTGGAACGCTTAAGTTACAAAATGCAGTCACTCTTGTGTAATTAACGAACCATAACATTTGACACATCCGTTATGCCACAACAATCATTATTATTATTATTATTATTATTATTATTTTCTTCTTCTTCTGAACGTGTTGTTTTATTCAAGATATAGAGGACCATACAAAACCAATGAACAATATCTTCACCAGGTGCCTTGTGGTCCAAAGGAACTAATTTTGGGTGATGGTGACTGTCCGAGTTTTCTAAGGAACAAATTTTAGGTGATGGTCTGAGTTTCCAAAGGAACAAAAATTAGGTGGTGGTTAGTGATGGTCCGAGTTTTCAAAGGAATAAAAATTAGGCGTATATTGTATATATGTTATATAGCAAAGTCACAACCAAAAAACATGACCAACAACAATCATGTTATTTCATTCTTATTAGTTGTTATCTTTGAGGTCTCCTCCGCCGGAGCTTCCTCTATCTGCTCATCTCATTGGTCTTTTTTTGACTCATGGCTGGAGAATAATTAAGAATTAGTTGTCCTTTTGCTAACCTATTAAGCAATGTTCTAATTCTTCAGTCAAAATGAAAGGAAAAAACTATAAAATATGAATGCGGAAAGAAGAAGATATATGTCATGGGATTCAAATGTCTTATAAATTTTCTTTTCGGTATTACGATAGTAATAGTACATTGATAATAAATAAATAAAACAAAATCTTTTTTTCTCCTTTATTTTTCCGAATTTAGTAATATTATCATTTTATTTATTTTTCTTCATAATTTTTCTAAACATGAATATTAGCTATTTTTATTTTTTTTTTCTTTTCTGGTGACTAATATTATACCTACTAATGGAATATTTCTGGACCTGTGATCAAATCAAAAGTAATAAATTTAATTAAATTATATATATATATATATATAAATTAAAGTAAATGAAAATTCGCTAATACCCTCGTATTTGTCGGAGACAGAGAGAGAGAGGGGGGCGGCAGCCAAAGACGACATTTCCTTTTGGCTAGACAATACTACGTCGTTTATTTGGTGATTGACCCTTTTCGACTCGGTCGTGATCCAAATATAGCCCCTGCCGGAAGTCGATCACTGAAACTTGGAAAGTACGACAGTGAGAAGAACAATGGATCCTCGTCTCTGGCACAAAGTTGCTGCTCTCTCTGGTGTGTTTCGATCTCTCTCTCTATATATATGTACACACACATAAACATATAAATACACCACTATTATATAATTGCTTTTGAGGTTTCGTACCTTTGATTTACTAATATCAATTGGCCCTTTTGTGGATTAAACTGAAAATCAGGAATGGCAGCTCTTGGGTTGGGGACTTATGGTGCCCATGGCTTCAAGCCCCAAAACCCATCTTACAAAGAGGTACTTTTTCATTTTTATATGTTCTTATTTCTTAATCTTTTCATCTATTTTTTTCGTCTTTAATTTGAAGGGGCGTTTTTTTTCTTTTCTTTTCTTTTTTCTTTTTTTTAAAAAAAAAAAAAAAAAATTTCTAACTTCAATTTGTTTCATATGCAAATATAATGGAAGGTTTGGCACACAGCATCTCTCTATCATTTGGTTCACACAGCAGCCCTGGTTGCTGCCCCCATCACCAAGCACCCCAATATTGTGAGTGACCCCCCTTTTTACTTCATTTTTCATCCTTCTTAATCATTTGTTTGTGTGTGTATGTATCTCATCATTCATGTGTTATTTCAATTGAATGAGGTGGGTAACATGAATTCTCTTCTTAGACCCTTTCTTATCAATGTTATGTCTCCTATATATAGTATATAATTTGTTATGGTATTTCCTCATTAATTCATCCCGTGATGTACCTGTCCACATTGTGTGTTTGCGTGTGTTTTCTATTTCTACAATCACTTTTTAGTAAATGTTCTTGTATTTTGTTGCAGTTTGGAGGCCTTTTGACTACTGGAATCATGGCTTTCTCTGGGACGTAAGTGCCAATATCTTTTCATTCTGTATGGCTAATATTGAATTGTATTTCTGTAATCATGTAAACCTCTCTAAATTCGTAAATGCTTCCATATTAGAAGTAGAGTTTGTATATGCGTTTGGTGAAAGATCTCTTCTTATACGACTTAGAAATGGAAGCATATCAGCATTTATATTGTTTAATTGCTTTTCACTTCCTTAGGGAAGTTATATTAATTATTTTGAAGACTGATTTTTAAATATAAATTTATACGTATTGTGAAGAAACTGTATGCGGGTGATGTATCATTTTCTACTCTAAGAAGTAATACCAAAATGAAAGCCTATAGAATCCTCAAGTTGAAAAAATGTGATAAATATACAATTTTATATGTGTGATGCTATAGAATTTTGATAACCTATTATTTTTTTGACAGCTGTATAATTGTTTATTTGGTTTATGAGTATGTTGTGGTTTTGAGAGATGACTGAGGTGGCGTCAAGGGTTTAGAAAATTTGGAACATTATGTGTTACATCAGCTTCCTGTGCACAAAGTTTATCATACTTACATCGTTAACATCTCTTATAAATTGGTGTTTTGCTTTTAAAGTTCAGCAAATTCCTCAAATTTTCACAATTTGATGCACTTTTGTAGCGACCAATTAATTGTTTTGTTTATTAACTAATGGCCATTACATAATCGGGTCGTCATCACTGAACCAATCTCCAATTTGTATAGCAATTCTGTTGGAAATCACAAGCTTAACAGTTGTTATAGCGCTTTAATGGCCTCAACAGTTTGTAACATTCCATTACAGCTCAAAAAGGGTCTTGTCAGGACATGAACTTTTAAGCCAATTTAGTCCCCACCCCAAATTTTTTTAGTTTGGTGTGCTTTGAAAAAGTAATTCAACTATGGTTCTTCCTTCCGGAGTAAGTAAAATATAAGATCTAACCTTAGATCTTAATCAAGACTTTTGAATACTCCACTTTAAAATGGTAGTCTAGATTGACATAGGCTAGATTTGTTAACTCTACCTTAGATCTTTTGTTGGTGAATTCATTTTTGGCTTTCTCGTTCTAAATCTTTATAGATTCGCCCTCCCTGTCATTTTCTACTTATGTGATATTGAGATAATATTGTTGTTTGAATATTCTTTATTTTAGTATCATTTTTTCATTTTTAGTGCTTTTATGGCCATGAAATTTATGAAATATAAAATTTAGCAGACATTTTTTCTTCATCATTACATTTTTCTTCAAAATTTATTAGAAAACTAAATTGTGTTATTTTATAGTTAAAACATGCGCCTCACAAGTATTTAGGGGAGTTGTATGACCAAAAGACTAATACACGGTTTCTATATCTGCATCTGTTACTAATAATCACTACATCCTCATGTCCATTATGAAAATTTTGACAGCAATGGTTACCATGACCATGGCAATGGTAATTATTGCAATTTATAACTCAAAATTTTAAATGCTAGACTTTTGATGTTGTAGACCATGGCAATGATGCCTTAAACTAGTTGGAGAAATGCTAGACTTCTGATGTTGTAGAGTCACTGAACTTTGAACTATTATAGAGAACTATTTATTTCTCTAAATTTCTATGCAAATAAGTAGGTTCTTATTACCAATTTTATTTTTCACTACCTGTCATGTGTTGCTGGTACTTACTTTTGAACTTAAAAAATTAGTTTAGAAGTGAAATTTGGTAGAATTTAGTTGATAATTGCTATGACATATGCTTATGAGAAGATGAAAATTACAGTTCTTTTGTGCACTCAATTTTGCACATGGAGATCGTACAAATATACAACCTAGTTGAATAATCCTGATAATTGAGCATTGACTGGAATTGTTCGACAGTTGAACATATTTCAAGAAAACATTGAGCATGGAGAGGCTTCCTATTGGATCTTCATTATGTCTTAAAAGTTTTTTCAAGAAATTACTCCGGTACTTGGTGTTTGAAAGGAGACTGAATTTGTTGGTTTATAGAGGGTATGCTGATTAGGGAGGGCCTACTGTTATTTTAGAATCATTTACTGATTTGTTAATTTTGAAAAGGTTATTTTCCACTAAGTCATTTGTTTGAGTTTACGTGATTAAAGGTGAAAAATGAAAGGAATTCTGGGATTTTGCAGGTGTTATGCTGTAGCATATCTTGAAGACAGAAAGTATTCATCCTTGGCTCCATTTGGTGGCTTTGCGTTTATTGCTGCTTGGGCGAGCTTGCTTTTTTAAGAACTTCGGCTTTCTCAGAGAGAGAAGTTATATTTGTTGCTTTGAGTTTGGAGAACCTCTTGTGAATCTGGAGAATGAAGTCGAGCTTCTCAAGCTTGGAAAGTTGGTGATCCAAATTTGTGCATAACTTTACCAATAAATAATGCACTAGCTTCTTATAGATATTTTGATGAATTTCTGTGTGAGACTAAAAGATTCTTGTGATACTCCTCTGGGAAGATTTAGATGGATGTGTGAGTTATAACTCAATTTTAAACTTATGCTGCTTGTAACAAATTTATGGTTTTCCACAGAAAATAACTTTGGGTTCTATCATCGTGATATGAATATCCTTACGCATGATTATGACTCCTGTTGTTTACATAAGTGGATAAAAAAGAAAGAGCAATTTTCAAATCATATTAGTATTAATAAGATCATTGTTATTGCTTGATGTAATAGTAAAAGTTTTTATTTATGTATTTATTTATTTTTATTGTTGCAATAATATGCTAAAAATTAGGTTTGTTTTCAGTCCTCTCTTCAACTTCACCTCTATGCAGGAAGACTAGAACAGTAGTCCTGCCTAATGCCTTGGGTTTTATCATTCATCACATGGTACAATGGTCATAATGAACCACACTCGTTCAGAAAAACAATGAATCATTTTGAAACCGTATGATTTTGAAGTAATGACCATCATTGCGAAGGATAAATTTCTTGCAATGAATAGATTTCTCTGCAAATGGTCAGAGGTTACACTAATGAGTGAAATTTCCAAACATTATAACTAACAATGAAAGTCTGTATTTGTGTATTTACACAACTCATGAGAGCTACCAACAATTCCAAATCATACAACTGGTACAAAGACGATGCAGAAAAACAAGAACACAGCACAGGTATTATAGTTCTAGCAAGAAAGTAGAAACACAAGCACAGGAAAAAAAAAGCTACGTTGTTTTTGTTGTATGTTACTACTACATACCAATGGGGTTATCAATCCAATTAAGGCTGCCCACATGAACCACCGTTTGGAACAAATTTGGCATCCCCTGAAACGTTAGATTCTTAAATTTTCTGCTCTCTGGATTATAAGAAACTATAACTCCACCTTTATATTCTATCAAAAGATTGCCATTCTTCAACAGGCACAGAACTCGAGCTCCTTTCCCACTCAAAATGTTCCTCCAAATCCCATATGATTGCTGCAATTCTTGATTCATCAGCTTCGGCGAATAAGCTGCAATGTTGAATTCTTTGATCCAAGACTCTTTCACACTGTAATCTTTCATAACCCATATCTCCAATTTCCCATAGTTGCAATAAACAACTGCAGAGAGACACCCTCCAAGAACTGTTAGGCGATAGTTACACCGATTTAGGCCACCACATTCAGGTCTTGGGACCTCCAGAAACTGCTCTTCCGCTATGTCAAATGAGACTATGATTCTGCCACGAGCTCCGTGGTATCTGCCCAGACGAGTCACCCAATGAAGCCTTCCGTTCACCAGAGCTTCCGATGATCGCCTCTCGAACTGGTAGGGTGCTTTCCCAATACTTCTCCATGAATTGCTCCCCAGGCTATAAATCTGAACCTCTGATTGTGAATAGTCACGGATTCTGAACCTCCGAGCACCCAATGATCCACAATTCCCATGCCTGTAGTACACTACCTTGACCACCTTGTACTCTCCGGTTACCGGATGGAACCCAAATCCAAACACAGCCTCCTGTTCTTGAAATTTAACAGATTTAGGAAGCTCTTTGTAGTCCCTAGTAAAAGGGTTATACACATGTAGAGCATCCTTGTACAAGGAATCGAGCAAGCATAATAAGCCATTACATGAGCCTACAACATAGAACTCAGGCATGTCGGACCAAAAAGGGATTCTAATCTTTTTCACCTTCTCCTTCATCTTGTGTGTGTCATCTTGATCAGTAAAATCTACGAAGTAGAGTTGGTTTCGGATGGGATAATCGGAGTGAAAAATGAGGTATGGAGTGTTGTTAGCTGTCTCTGAGAATTGGAGATTAACAAGATGTGGATCATGTGATAACATGTTCCAAGATCGGCATACGAACCTGGATTGAATGACAGATGTTATGGGCAGCCTTGAAAGTATGTCGAGGGCGATGTCGCGTGGCAGAGACTCCATCCCATTTCTTCTTGTTGATTGATCTTCTTCTAGCTTGAATCTTCTTTTCTGGACCTGTTTTTCTCCACCCAAGTCCATGGCTTCAGTGGAGAGAATCAGAAAAACAGAGTAAAAAAAAAAAATAAAAAAAAAAAATTGAGGGAGGCTTAGGGATGAAGAAACAACTTTGAGGGCAGATAAACAAGGAGGAGACGGCAACTACAAGAAAATAATGTTGTGCGGGATCCACCATTGAATAACTTTCCGGGAAAATAATGTAAAGTTTTTCTCGGAAAAAAGTGTGATGGGCTAGACAAATCTGTACCATCCAATTCAGCATAAATGACATAGTATGATGCATGAATTCCGGAGTAATATATAAATGGATGAATGACCCTACTGATGCTGACTCTGCCGTATGAAGAATCTAATAAAAACAAAACTGCCCTGCTTTCTACCATTTCTGCAAATACAATAGTAATTGTGATAAGTACCCTTTTTATTTTTTTCTTTTTTCTTTTTTCCTTTAACTTTTACTGGAGACAAATTCATTGTATTGTCCACCAAATGTTCATTCAATTCAATCATCTGCTGCAAATAATTCTGAGAAAAAACTTTCAAAGATACCTGTTCATGGTCAGCTGGCTAACAGCAACATTTTTCGTAAGTGGAGCAGAGAATATCTGAGACATGGTGGTGTGATTTTATGCTCTTAAGGTTGAACAAAAGCACAAGTCAAGATATTTTAAGAACCCACTCATGTTAGCCCACTCATGTTAAAGCTTCAATTCTACATTGAACAAAGTTTACTGTAGATTTTCGAGCCAGCCAATCCATCCATCCTAATAGAACTTACTCCACATTTACTGCTGGTTGAACCACCAGTTTTGGAGCCAATTGCTTGATGAAGATGAACCAAATATCAGCTAGAATGTATGTATGATTTCAAGATTCATACCCTATTCTATTTCCAACTTCCTTCAAGTTAACCCAAAGCATATTTAGTGTCATCCAGTGAATAAATGACAATAGTCGCGTAGATAAGAAAAATGGCAGGAGGTAGCATGATTTGCATTTCCTTTAACCATCCAATTGGTTCAAAAAATATTTTGGTCAATGCATGAAACATGAATTGCAGTCAATTTGCTGTGAAGGAAATGGCATAAAGAACAAAAGATAAAATAATAACATTAACATTAACACTGACAAAAAGGAATGTTCTTTCCCGGTAACAGAATCAGGAAGAATCTGCTCATTATCATTTATATTTAACATTCAATAGTATGTTACAATTCAGTTTACCATGAAGCCACATAAGTTTCCAACAAACGCCACCATATTCACAAATCAAGTGATGCAAAAAGTAGTGATACAACACCAAAATCACTTGCCTAGAACCAAAAAACAAACAAAAAGGAGCTCTATTTCATACACAATCCACAGAGATTAGGATGAATACAAAATATTTTCACAAAGAACATATCCTCAAGTGCACTAGCTCACTGATGACCAAATTTCATCACCAAAGGGTTTTCTATGAGAATTTCCTTCAGTTTTACTTCTTCACTAACTACTACCTCCTTGTCCAGTGACCTGTTCAATCACCTTCAAAACAGGTAGAATTGAAGTTAAAACAATACAATGTCAAAATAACAATCCATCTACTTCTCGCAATGTGATTACTATTTATCCGCATTCTTCCCTACAAAAATTATTGAGAAGAAGAAGAGTCATTCGTCTCATTAGGATTTAATATGCGTATTCTAAAGCAAACATTTTATGCTTATACCTTCTTCAAGGAAGAATGCCAATGTTACAAAAATCATGCCAACCATATCTAATCTAACTAAAAGGGGCATAAACAATAAAAATAATAATAAGTTCCTTTTCTCTTATCGTGTCCCTCGTGAAGTGAGCAGATGATGTAGAATGGATAATGGCAAACTGGTCACAGCTCGTTCATTGCTTTCTGTGGATATCCATGCATTACAAACCATTAATCATGGTGGCAATCTCAGCATTCCTGGAAACAGATCACCACCAATTGACATCTGCCACTGCATTTGGAATTCCTAAATAGAATAAATTAACCATTCGATAAAATATACAAATAGAGATGCAATGAAGATCGAGATGCAAATAAAAATTGGACATGGGTTACCATAGAATTAAATACGAGGGGCTAAATGGAGGAGTACTCCTAACATATTGAGTGATCGATGCATATCTCTAAATTTGAATAGTAAATTTTAGAAAGCAACTATTAAACCAACCATACTTTATGAGACAGTTAATTGTGCGGTAAAGAAACAATATATTTTTACAATGACTTCGACCAAAATGCAAACAATGTTATGGATATGCGGCAAAATAAAAAAGGATAAAATTAGAAATTAACACATTTGTGAGATGGTTTAAATAGCACAAATTGGGGCGGAATTGAAAGAAACTCGATCATATGGTTTACCAATGTGCAGTGAAGACCATTAGCTGCAACAGTGAGGAAGAGTGATGTGATCCTCATTGACAGTAATGCGAGAAGGGAAACACCAAAACTAACATTTATTGAGATAGAAAAGACATTTATATGAACAAGTTAACTATGGGTATGAGCTTGGAGCAAAATGGTAAAAGCATGATTTATGTAGCCGACCACAATAGTTGAAAGAAAAAAGGCTTTTTTAAATTGATTTAAGAATCATGTATGTGATCCCCTTGCCGTATGAATATAAAACTAAAGTTCATTCAAACAGCATTCATAACTAACAATTTTTTTCCCATGTCAAAGGCCAACCTAGTCATCAATAACTCCAATCACAAAGTAGATCCATGCAGACACTGACACCTATGACATCCTTTTCTCATTTGTATACTTTGCATATCTAAGGTAAAGATTTTATGTCAATGAAAATTATATTGCTTTTCTCAAGTAACATAAGAAAGAAGGCATGACAGAAACAGAAACTTTAGGATGGTTATCAATGAAATTAAGAACTTCACTTATTTTTTACGAGCAACTACAAAGAGTGAAAATCAGATTTAACTTATTCTAATTTTCTGTCAAATATTGTGGCTGAACCATACATTTAACTTTACTTATCTTTCTTTTGGCAGTTAAATGCATGGTTGAGCCACAATATTTGACGCCCACAATCATGAGCGCATTAAAACATCTACAAGCATAGTGCTAAGAAATTACCAGATGAGGAAAGGCTAGAAGAATGCCATTGGAATGAGCCTATCATACCATCTCATAGCGGTGAGGGATGTCAGTAGTTGGAAGGCCAAATTGCTTTGGAATATATACTCAGAACAAGCACTTGGCTGGACCACCTGTGATAAATAAGTCAGAACAATCACTTGGCTGGACCACCTGTGAATTACCACTGCCATGTCAATCCCATTCCCTCTCTATCAACCAGATTCAAAAAAGCGTGCCACTGCTGAATAAAGCTGCTCTTCTTCAAATGCCTTTGACACATAATCATCCATCCCACACTTCACACACTCCTCATTTGTTGCTTGAATTACATCAGCAGTCATTGATATTATTGGTGTGTGCCAATGAGCCATATTTGCAGGCATATTGGTAGATGTGTCAGCAGATTCAATTTTTTCATTAACATTGTGCTCTAGACTGCGATTTTGTCGCATAGCTTTAAACCTGAAAAATTAATGACAAAAATATCAAAATTGTATCCCATGGAGGTAAAATCAGATGAGAAACTTGTCTTAGGAGATACTAAGGCCATCATCAATTTAAAGTGTTAACAATACGTCACAATAGTCTGATTGCTGATCAGGCCAGTCCAGTCCAGTCGACCAGAGTTGTTCATTGCCAATTTAGTTGCAGCACTGAATAAAAATTATCATCTAGGTGTAATGTGAAAAATTAAACAACCGAGTGACCAGTAAAAATCCCATCACAGTTTGAAATAAATAGCTGAGATCGTTGGAAGAAATATTGACTGGGTCCGTTTAAGGTTTTTATCTGTTGGTCATGCAAAAATTTTAAAATCGTTAACCATACATTGGTTGCATTGTGTACACAGCTAATTCATAACAATGGAAAATCAGCAATTAAAGACATGAGCAAGTTAATTACACATCAATTTCTGGCATCTGGAGATACATGAAGCAAGCATCAAAGCTTGCTACAGCAGCCTCTCCACTCTCAACGCAAGTAACAGTTGCCCCATACTTTCTTAGAGCACCTCTGGCCACTCTTCTGTTAACAGCATTGTCATCCAGCACCAATATTCGCTTCTCTCAGAAGATTTCCAAGATTTAATAGTTTCCCACTGTTTAATTGCCTCTTCTTGCCAATTCCAATGGCTTCTCAGAAGCAGGAAATCAACACACTTAATCGAAGATGTTTTGTTAGCACGTCATCCACTAAACCAGCTGATTTAAGCTCATTCCACTCAGTGGAGCTTATAGAAGTTGCCAGAAGAAATATCTTTAGCGGAATTTCTGGGACATTTAAGCAGCCATTGGGCCTGAGCTCCCTAAGCAGTTCATGTAATGCTAGACCAATCTCCTTGTCCAAATCATCTTTTTCAACAAGAATCATGTTTGAATGTGATGATGCACTGTTGACAAGATGATTATCAAATCATTTTCAAAATCAAAACGAACTGTATGATGCCATTGTAAACATAATTTGTAATTTTATACACAATTATTAATTAACTACTATTGTCATTAAGTTCAGATAAGACTCATTTATTTTCTTCTAACAGTCAAGTAGATATACTTTGAAAATAAAGACTATATGCTGTTGCGGCTACACTCAAGCCCAGTTGATTAGCTAGTTTAATAGTGGGAAAGAAAAAGGAAAAAGGCAATATGAGACCAGGTTAAAACAAATGAATTTTAGAATACCAACTTTAAAACTCCACGAAACTTATATTGTTCAACAAAAGCACAAAATCTCCCTCTCTCCCTTGATAAAAAAAAATTAAAAAAAAAGTTCAGACCAACTCTCTTTGAAAAGCACCGGACAACTTTAATCCTTCACCATGAGCAGTAGAATGTCAGTAATTCTAAGCTCAAGGTGTTTGCCTAGATATGGAATCAGATGTTAATTGTGTTACCTTTGATATAGATAAACCATCATCTTTTTACTTTTGTTGACTGTATCATCATGTTACCCGTGATATAGATAAACCATCATCCTATTACTTTTGTTGACTAACAATATCTTTAGTTTGTGGTTGAATTTTATTATAGTTCTTTTTCATATTGTATGAAGAATGGTAACGTAAATAATGGTAATCTTCCCATCATATATATTTGAGTAGCTTAATTAACTAAAGCATATTATTGTGTCCAGCTCAAGCCACAGCCAATCTTTTGAACAGATATGCTAAATATAAGGGTTCTACCTTGTGTTGGAGTTACTCGATAGGTAAGAGCATGTGAAATCATGACTGACTAAGTCTGTGGATATCCCCAACCTCTGGAGATGATATCTTGCGACCTCAGCTCGGATGCTTCTACCATCAACCACCAATGCTCTCAATCCCTGGAACTCTGAAATAGTTAGATTGTACTGCAGCCAATTTGTTTCCAGAGAACTTGTTTCTTCTTTTGCAAAAGTTGCAGCCAGGTTTACTGACGAATCCAATTTCTCCATTCATAAGGTCCACCAAATGCTTGCTAATGCTCAATCCAATTCCAGTCCCACCATTTGTTTGTGAAGTGGAACTGTCAACCTGCATAAAAGGCATGAAAATGCGGCCTTGTGCTTCTAGAGGAATTTGATCATTTTAGTTTCCTCTATCGCATTCTGTGCCACTTAACTTTTTAAAATTCTCCCAGCTTTTCCATCTATCAATCACAGGAGACCCACTCAATGTATTATAAGAATTGTTTGACCAGTCTTGAACTCAGGTTAAGCTTTGTTTTAGCACTCCGTCCCTAACATAAAGTGGGTTCCTCGTCATCTGCCAGATACACTGAGACAAATATATGCCCCTTATCATGTGTGAACTGCAATTTAAACAAAGCAGTTACTTAGAAACAAATGCAAATAATTACCGATTTGGCACTATCAATGATCAAATTGAATTGGTACGGTTGCACAATCCCATCCCAATTACTGTGCTGTATGCAGATGTGTTTCACAGATTCTCCTATGCCCCTCAATGTATTAATACACATCAAGACATATGTATAGGATATGCTTATGAGACACGAACTGGAATCCCCCACTCCGGTCATTTTGATGAAGACAAAGAAAATGCATAAATTCGATAGCAGAGAGAGGCTTTCTACTCCTAAGATAGATGGAAACTACACATCATATTCCATTTAATTTATATTTTAAATATATATCCTTAAAGAACAATAATATCATATATTGCAGCATTATATGTAGTAATTTATGTAAACGTTTTTAGGATGTGTCTATGTACCCATACTCAACTTTTCAAGTCAAGTCTTTCACATTTCTTTAGCTTTGGGATTCAGAGAGATCAACACTCAGACATACTCGCACCAAGTCCATGTAACGTTGGTGTGGCAGTAGATTATGCTTTTAGATTATATATGATCATAGCAATTAGGTTATGCATAAATTAGCTCCTAAGCAAGGCTTTCTACTCCAAAGATGTTGTTGCTGAAACAGAACATATGCATACATACATATATATAAATATATATATATATAAGTCCATACCATGGCATATTTATCACTTGTCACTTCAAAGTAAGCGAACACCAAAATTCTGTTTAAGTTCAAATATGTCTGATTGTCAGGAATTCTGGATAAAATTTCTGTTTTATAGGCTCTTTTTTTTCCCCTACAAAATTTACATATCATGTTATCCCGTTAACTACAAGTGGGTTAAACTCAATTTCTGTCAGTCAAGTGAGTCAACCGATACTTATTTTTCAAAAAAAAAGAAGAAAAAAGAACACAATTGGAAAAGAACCAAAATATATATAGAGAGAGAGAGAAAAAGTTGTAGGACCCACATCCACTAGCAAGAACCAATGATCTAGATACAATTTAGGTGATTATATATACATATACGTAGGCTTGTGTGTGTAATTTCTAAAGGAATGGGGAATCTTGAGCATTTGGTACAAATATTGATCCCTGTTCCGCCATTTTCTCGCCAACCAAACAAAGGGTTGATAGAAGGTAAATCAAGAAAACTCACTGGATCGTCAATTACTGGTGATGCAGTGTGAAAAACACCATCACACCCATTAATGGCCTCGTGAACATTTCCGTAATCAAGAAGATCACCTGTACATAGAGTCAGTCTTATTAAGATTGATTGGTCCTATATTTTAAAGTATAACTCACTTAAACAAATTAGATACATAATGATATTGAGTAAACAAAAATGCAAAAAAGTAAAAAAGTACTTGCCGCTTTGCACATTGGAGCAATAAATAGGTAAGGGGCATTTTTGCAATTCGCCTTATTCTTAAAGAATAATAACACCAAACATTGAAGCATAATATAAATCTTCTGGTCACATTTCAAGTCGAGTCCATCCTGTATCTTAAAATTTTGGATTCAAAGCGATCCAACACTTAAGACATACATTTGCACCCAGTGCATGTACCCAAGTCAATGTAACTTACTGATAAGTGTATCCTTAAAGAACAATAGCAACATTATGCTTAATGAAATTGCAAATGAAATAAATGTACCGATAAAGCAAGGATCTTCTATTATCAGTTTGGAAGTATTTTGCTAGCTTGTAAAACCAGAAGGTTGCTTCATTTTTTGCTCTCAATAATTTAAAAAAGACAAAAAAGAAGAAAAAAAGAAAAGAAATAAAGAACCAAAGAAAAGGGGAGGAATATGAATCAAAAACAAAATCAAAATGTTAAGCAGATAATTTATGTAATTTAAAGTTTATAAAGAGACTACAAGTAATATATGACCTTACAAGTCGTCTTCATTTGATTTGCTCTCTATTCCTGGTTTACAGCTAATGATTTTAGCTTTCTCAAAACCTTCTGGCATAAGGTGTCTAGCTTCAATCTCTTTGCACAACTGCAATACTAACTCAGCTTGGCCACACAGGCGAAGTCCACAGCAAATCTCAGATAAGATGCCTGAATCAGGAGCAATAGATCTTTTTAACATCTCTCTCAAGACCTGGACTGCTCCATCAAAGTCCTCATTCTTGCAGAATGTGGACATCAAAAACTTGAAAGTATGCTCATTCGGATGACAACCGGTTTTTATCATGCTTTTGTATAGCTGAAAGGCTCGCTCAGACTTCTTCCTTACGCACTGCCCCATTATAAGGGCAGAAAAGGTTGAGGAGTTTGGGATCAAGTTCTCCTTATCAAATTCTTTAACCAGATATGCAGCTTTCTTTGTCCTCCCCTCCTTGCATAGTCCCAAAATCAACGCATTATAAGTCAAGATATCAGCCTTAATTCCATTCCTAGACATCTCCTCATGAAGCCGGCGGCCCATCTCACTGTTACCTACCTGGCTGTACCCATTTATCAACGTGTTATATGTTATGATATTAGGAGCCATATTCATGTTTTTCATCTCGGTGAAAAGCTTGTTTGCTTCAATTAATTTCCCATCCCTGCAGAACCCATGGATAAGTATGTTATAAGTAACATCATTCGGGTGACACCCATTCTTCTCCATCAAGTTCTTGAGCTTCATGGCAGTGCTCAAAAGGCCCTGGTTACAATTTCCAGCAATCAATGTGTTATAAGACACAACAGTAGGATTAAACCCCATATTTTCCATCTCCCTAAAAACCTCAAAAGCCTTTTCTAGTTTCCCTGATTTACAAAGAGCATCAATAACCATATTGAGAGTATAAACATTTGGTGAAATCCGAGATCGCTGCATTTCCTTATAAAATCTCAAAGCAATATCTGTCCGATTTAAATTAATTAAAGAGCTCATATATGCATTGCATGACTCAACAGTTGGGAGAAACCCATAATCCTTCATACGACAAAAAGTGTCAGTGGCATTCCTGAATTTCTTCATATGTGCATAAGTTTTGAAGAGACAGTCAAAAACAAAAGGTGAAGAATCGCATAATCGGTACGAATAAAGTATGGTTTCAAAGAGCTTAGAAGGAAATTCTATCGAACTGGATTCATGGATTTTCTTCAAAATGGATTCAGCAGATTTGAACTTACGATTCTTGGTAAGAATATGCAGAACAATGGAATGCATTTCAAGGGTATGGGAATTGGGTTTACGGAGTTCAACCCATTTGAAGAATTCAAGGGAAACAACATGATCCTTTTGGACCTTCAACAGAACGTGCTTGACTCTAAACGGTGTCAGACCAGACACCAACTTATCAAGCTTAGTCCAATCAGAGTGCACAAGGTAGCTGTAAGCTACATTCACATAATCAAGGTCTTGGCCTTTGGGTTCAGGAATTGTTCTATGGGGTAATGGAATTGGATTCCAATTCCTTATCTTTAGATTTCCAGGAATTGTAAATGGTGTCGAATTAGGGTTTTTTGTTGCTGAATCAAGCAGAGTTGAAATTCGACGGAATGGCAAGTAATTCATAATTTTCCCCAACTACCACCGAAATTGAATCTTTTGTTGGTTTATAATCGATTAGCAAGCAGGGTAATCAGATAGTTTCATTTTTCTCTCTAATAAACTCAAAATCAAACTGACAATCAACATGGACCGGGATGTTAATCAGATCTATAGATACATATAATTGTAATCAACATTAATTCTTTTGGACGGAATGATGCTAACCTTGCTGGAGAGCCTCGACTGAGTGACTCGCCACTTCATCTAGGCCTGTGGTGTGTGTGCGCGCGCGCGCGTCTATATATATATATCCGTGTAGCCGTGTATAGTTCAGTTATTTACATATATGGGTAATATATAGGGGATGGCAACCATCCAGCAACTGTTTAAGAACTCCGCCTCCATCTTTGTCCAAAAATGTAAAAAGGGGAAAACCCTATTTCCGTAACCATTTTAACATTTTTATTCCGCGGGTACCCACTCCGCTCCGCCCCGTTTAAGATCATAATTTAATTATTGTTGAAATAAATTTACTTTTTTTTTTTTTTATTCCTTCATCTTCAATTCTTCACCATTGTAACTTTCCTTTTAATAAAATTTATTTGTTACTTTAATATTGTTATATGGGGTAATTATAGGGGTGGCAAATGGACGGGTTGGGTCAGATTTGGGTTGGGTTGAAAATGAATGAGTTATGATGGGTCAAGATTCATATTTAACTCGTTCAGAACGGGTTGAAAATGGGCGGGTTGAAAATGGACAGGGTTAACCCGTTATAACTCGTAGACCCATTAATTATTATTTTTAATTATATATATATATATATATATATATATAATTTTTAACTTTTAACTTATTATTTTTTAGGTAAATTTTCATTTAATGGAGGAGGTGGAGCCTCTGGGACTTATTTGAAAAAAAAAAAAAAAATTGTTTAATCCACAAGTGACAACAGGGCTGAGGGCATAAACACTTACGCCTTTTATGAGTCCATACTTAAAAAAATAAATAAATAAAATAAAATAAAATTCTCAAATTATACCCTCTCTAAAAAAAAAACACTCAAATTATACTCTATCTCTCTCTCTCTCTCTGTCTGGGTGTGGGTGTGGGTGTGGCTTGCATTGTGTTGTTGATTCTCTCCCCACTGAAATGGTGTTCGGACAGGGGGGTCACTACCTAATCCTTGGTTCATTGAGCCCATGTTGCCATGATTTTAAAATTTTTAGATTGTTAAATGCTCCTCCAGGTGGGTAAATCTGGGCACTGGTCCAAGAGTACTACTAAGAAATTTGGCACTCTCTGTTTTTTACTTGCCTATCTTTATTTCGGAGAAATAAAATATATATATATATATATATATTCATTGCAATAAGAGAGCCCAGATGGAAAAGTAATATTTTTAAAGTTTATTTATTTATTTTTACTTTTTTATTTTTTAAAAAAAAAATTTATTTATTTTTTAATTTTTTTAAACTTTTTTTAATTATTTTTTTGAAGTTTTAAATTTTTTAAAATTATTTTTTAATTATTTATATCTTTTAGAAGATATTTCTAGAGAGAGAAACTTAGAGAGAGGGGATTGATAAGAGATAGATTTAGAGAGAGATGATTGTGAGAGAGAATTTTAGAGAGAAAAATGAGTTGAGCGCAATATAAAATAGAGTGTATTGTGTATTTATTATATGATGGGTGAAATATGGGTTGAATATGGTTAACCATATTTAACCCATCTTGACCCTAAAATTAAGTGGTTAAAATTACCCAACCCATTTTGACTCTCAATTAAGTATGGTTCACCCATAACTATTAAAAGGCGGGCGGATATGGGTGGGTTGATGGTTCCTGACCCATTTTACCACCCCTAGGTAATTAATATATAGTGGGAAATATATATATATATATATTAATGAAATAAGAATACTTAAGCAATTTGTCTATCTAAACGAGGCGGAGTGGTGCGGGGCGACCTCCCCCCGGCCCCGCACCAAACTCGCGCGGATTTTTATTACATCAAATCATCTCCACCCAAATAAGCAAAACGGTCCCCCAAAATCGTCAAAAACGGGGCGAGGTGGGGCAGGTAACCGTGAGAGCGGATCAAATTGCCATCCCTAGTAATATATATACTCTATAACAAGTTCAACCACTAACGAGGGGTACCATAGCGCTGTTTTTGTATTCTCAAAATAAATAAAAGAAATATTATCCAATTGTTTAATACACCCCCGACTTCTCAAATAGGTGTTCCCAGAAGTAGAATGTTAAAATGACATATATGTATTATTAAATATTATTATTATTTTTTATATTTAAATTTGTGACAACAGTAAAGGAAAAACTATAAAATGTACACAATTTTTTAAAATCTAAAATTTTATTTTCTATTATAAAAAAAAGCTTAAAATATATATATAATTTAATTATTTCACGAATATTAATAATACCCTCAATACATGATATTAAAAGACAATATCCAATTTAAAATCATAAATCCTAATAGTATCATTAAGTGCAAAAAAATCCCTCTACTATCGATATAATGCAAAAAAGTCCCTGTGTGATATAAAACCTCCCTATACTATCAATTTGGTACAATTACCCCTTGTTCGCATAAAAAGACATTAATACCTTCTTGTCAATAAAATGAAATAATATTAAAAAAAAAAAAAAAAAAAAAAATCAGGCAATGTAAAATTACCATTTTAGACAATTCCCTCTGATTCACTATGTCCAGAGCAGAGCCTAATGCCATAACCACAGAGCTTCGGCGACCATGGCTTATAGAGCCATGGATTGTTAAGCCATGATCCCAAATGGGTTTCATAAAAATAGCAAAAAACACTCAATTTCCAAACCCACTCTTTTTTATTGTCCGTCGCATCTCCTCCACCTCTCCATCGTCTCATTGGAGGTGCTCCGATCGTCACTACCGCGTCGAACAACCACACCAACTAGTCAACCAGTGACAGATATCCACCATCCTCATCTCGACGACGATCGTCCTTACCATTGAAGAAGCCTGTTCACCAGCTTCATCTCCGTCATCTGCGTTTTAGGAACACGCGTTTCCATCATCTCTCTTCGGCTCGGTTCTCACAAATCTCAGTCATTATCGGCGTCACCATCTTCATCTTTTGGCAAAACGGCGTCGTGGTTGTCGTTGCATTGACCTAACCAATCTTAACATTTATATGCATAGATTTAACACGTATACACGCACTGCACGCGCCCATCTCTCTGATCTCCGATGGCTAATACCCTTCACCGTCGTCAACCATAACCTGTTGCACTCCCTTCGCCATCTTCTTCAATGTCGGCAACAAAAAGCCTGAACTGATTTATAAGCCATGGTCGTTGAAGCTCTATAATCTCGTCTGCTTTGTTTACAAGTAATCAACAAATCCACTGCCGGCACAATCATCGTCGGAGGTGCCAACTTACACCTCCGCTAAACGCACTGTGGAGTATCTGGTACGAAATCACTCCGATAAAATCAAAGGCAATCTGAAATTCTCTTATAAGTTAGGCGAAAATTTATTGCGCCGGCAGTGACGTATCCGGTGGCGGTAACTTATCTGGTGGCGTCTGCTTATCCACCAGGGTCGCGGGCAGCGGCAGCGGTGGTGGTAGTGGGGTTGAGGATGGTGGTTATGGCTATGATACACCACTGGTTGTGGTAAAAGGCGTACAAGAGAAACAATCCTTTATAAAAATGGTAGAATAGGAAGAGAAAAATGGCAAATTAGGATTTTAAAATTTACTTTATATCAATTTTGACCAAAAAGTGGTCAAAATAACTTATTTGCACATTTTTTTGAATTTTATTAACTGAAATTGTAATGACCCGGTCATTTCCTTCCTTTCCTTTTTCCTCAGAATTTTACGGATGAATTTTTTTTCGTTGAAATTTCTTTTCTGAGTTCGGTATCTTGTCACTTAGTGTCATCTCGAGTGCTCAGAAATGATTTCTGAGAGTCTTTCCTTTGGATTGACAACTTCCTTTAAGGACCGAGTCATTTTCACATTTTTCGTTTTTCGACACTATTCACTTTTCGTCCTTCTCCCTATTTTGTCTTTTCCCGATTTGTCACTTTGTTGGCATAACCTCACTTTTTGTGTTCGGAGTTGGTTTTTGACTTCATGTATCTTCATTCTAAGTGGTTTTCACGAAATACGTATCTTTGCTTTTGTAGGAAAGTACTCTGGTTGCTCTCGGTATCCATAGGGGTATGGATGCAAAGTTATTCAAAAATATTTTTGTTTCTTGGGGTATTTTTTGTAAATATCTTTTGGAGATATTTTATTTCATGAGTTTTTAAGAAAATATTTTTGGAAGATATTTTCATTCTGGGTCATTAGTATAGTTTTCACTTTTTGGAGGGGCCATTGTGCAATTAATGAAAGTTATTACAAAAATGTCTCGTTTTGAGCCTGGATCCTCGTACGAGATTCATTTTCACTTGTCGTCGAGTCATGTACTCTTAGAATTGCCTTCTGGTCGTTTTTCCCCAATTTCAGGGTTTTTGGCTTCGGTTGCCGCCGAACTTGTTCGGAGCATATCTTTCTGCTCGGGACTCGATTTTTTACGCCGTTTCTTCCATTGTTCATATTTTCTCGTTTCGGTTCTTTTTTGTTCACAGAGTTTTGTCATTTGAGCGCGTCTGCTCAAATTCCACTTTTCCGGACCCTGCGGGGCCCTTTCGGGGCACTTTAGGCACATCAAAGGGGGCTGCCACTTTTCTTCTCTCAATTAAACCTCCTTCCCTTTGTTCTAAAGTCATAGGGCCTTTGCGTTTTGTGTTTGTCTTGACGACGCTCATCTTTTCCCTTTATTAGAACCTGTTTTTGGTCAAATTTTGAGTTCGGGTTTGAGGTCAAGTTAGGATTTTGGTAGGTCTTGGTATATTCTTCAACCTATGTAAAATTGAGGACATTTAGAGTTATTTGAAAATCTAGAGAAAATTAATTAATGAGTTTAATTAATTTTATTTTAAGTGTTTTAATCCATTGATTCAATATTTGATGTGATATATGTGAAGACTATGTTATGTCCCTTAACATATATTAATTTGAGATAATTTGGGATTGATTTGAAATCTAGAGAATTTAATTATTTTAGTTAATTGAATTCTATCTACTTGTTCCATGGATTTAACTATGTCTTTGAAATTGTTTCTATGTTTAAATCAAGGAATTGGACTTAGCATGATATAGGATATCATTGTCTTGCATGACTTGTTTAAATATATCTTGTGTAGGTATATAGCTTGTTAGAATATTACAATTGTTTATCTTGAAAACTAGTTACTAAATTATAACTTATTTAGTACTTGTGGTTTAAGATGGTAATTTGGTTTAATTGTTGTAAAATATTCTTACTTTCGGTATAAATTGCATATTGAGGACATGACATGTCATATACTATATAGACTTGAATTGTAGGACATGGTTTGTGTGGACTCAACCTTACTTGTGCATGGAATGTGGTAACTTGCATTTGATTTTGTATAAGTTTTGAACTTATTGATTTTGGAAAGCTTGTGAGGACATAATTTATGTGATGGCTAGGGTTTGGCTCTAGTACGTGGACAAGCGTCCTCTAAGCCCTAAGTGTGCACTAGGTGGTA